TTTTTTTTTTTTGGTTTTTCGAGACAAGGTTTCTCTGTGTAGTTTTGCGCCTTTCCTGGAGCTCACTTGGTAGCCCAGGCTGGCCTCGAACTCACAGAGATCCGCCTGCCTCCGCCTCCCGAGTGCTGGGATTAAAGGCGTGCGCCACCAACGCCCGGCTAAATATACATCTTCTTATTTGTGGAGGAAGTTGGCCATTTTTCATATTTTAAAATTTATTTTTTTGTCTTTCTAGGGATTGGTCACACATATTTATATTTATGGGCTTTTCTTGAAGATTTCTGGCTTTAACATCATGCAAAGAAACATTTTCTCAGCACCAATATGTCAAGGTAACTTTCTAACTGCATAGAAGTTACATCCACATCTCTGAAGCAACAGTGGCCAGGGTGACTCCATCTGCAACCATGTAGCCTGTTCACAACTTTTCAGGTATGCATTTCTTGGATACACAGTGGTCCATGTGTGTGTGTTTCCCATCCACATACCTGGTTAAGCTTGTTTATCCTTCCCTGGAGCAATTAAGGGTGGCTTCCTTTCTGAGAGTTTGGTGGAGGGTGAGGTTCTTGACAGCTCCAGGCTGCCCCAGGTTCTGGTGGGATCCCTGGCCAGACCCCCACTCTCTCCTTGATGTTGTTTGTCTCCTAGGCCTGGCACCTAGTTGATCCTCGGAAGGCAGCTTTCAAATACCAGCTCCGCTGGGTCTTGTTAAAACACTTTATCAATGGCCGTCTTTCTCAGTCGGGGTGACCTTTGCCCCAGCTTTGCTGTCACTACCTGACTTGGATAACCTCCAAAGGCAGGTTGCCATGGCAATTCGCATTCAGCCCAACCAAATCTGGCTTCTGTATCTTATTAAATGTTCCCTAAAAAGGAAATCACACCATGTGTGGAAGAGGAGGGCCATTCACAAGGAGCAATAATGTTCAGCGGCCCTGTCCTCCTCCTGGCTCCCACTCTGGGGCCGGTCTGTCCTTTGCCTGGAGTTGACTGGTTGCCCCTCTTGATTCCTTCTTCCTAATCTCAGTTGTCATGGTAAGTACTTAGATTTTAGGGGTAAGAGAATGGGAGGGGGTGGCTATGGCAAATGCCAATCAGCCGTTCAAAAGACACTTTTACAGTTCCAGTCCAGCAGCACTAACAAGTGTCAGGATCAGGTGCATAATGAGGCCGTGTTAGAGACACTAATTGGAGGGGTCTTCTTTTCTTCTCCATCTTCATTTTGACGTGACGTTTTCCCGTTTTCTCAGAATGCAGTTTTCACAGTGACTCTCATTAAATCCGAGCAGATAATCTCCATCAGACTACTGCTCCTTGGCCTGGAAGAGGAGTGGGAGGACCCAGCGGTTGCTGGTAACTTCCATGAGGTTGTTTTGTGTTTATCTCTGGCTAGAATAGAGAGGAAGGTGAGAAACATCCTGCACCCACAGAGTCTGCAGAAGGGACTGGGCTCTCAGTCCATCAGCAACAGCCAGTCTAGGGAAAAGGGAACACTGGATATCAGAGATAAGGTCACTTGTGGGATGGGTGGGTGCCGCCACCAATCTCTGGGCATGTCACTGGCCTTGACCTCTGTAGGTAGAGACTCCAAGTCTGCTTTGAATGGAGGGGAGGTCTGACCTTCAGGCTGTCACACAGAGAAAAGGAGTATGGGGCAGGTAGGGAAGAGGTTTTGCTAGGTAGAGGGGCCTCTGGTGTTTACCCAAGGGACCCAGAACATGCCACTCTTGCAAAGTGAAGCAACCACTGGTTAAGAAGAATGAGAAGTGTATCCAAGTGCTCATCTCAGATTGCCACTCCTCTCCTGACCCCTCTCTCTTCAAGTCCACAGATCCTGGACACTTTGAGGACCATTGTGTTAGGTCAGAAACAACACCTCCCTGGGAATATGAGTATGGCAGCTACGTCTCTCCTCAGGGGAGAAGAGGGAGGCTGAGGGGATCGCCCCTTGGCTTTGCTTGCCTTGGCAGGGGCAAAGTAAGTGGGCAGGGTAGTGCTGCTGCTTGGAAAGACACAAGTAGCTGGGTTCTCTGAGCTCTTAGCTCTCACTGTGTGCTGGACACTTCATGGAGGGTTTTACACAAATGAGCATTTCATACAAACCTCCCTCTCCAGTCCCTATGGACGTATGTTAGTTACTTTTTTCATTGTGATGATAAAATACCCCACAAAAGCAACTTAAGGGAAGAAAGATATTTTTGGTTCATTGTTTCAAAAGGGATTCAGCCAACTAGGGCAGGAGGGTATACCAGCAGGAGCTTATGGTTGTTGGTCACATTGTGTCCACAGTCAGGAAGGGGGGGGGGACACTAATGCTCATCTTATACCCTCCTTTGTATTCAGTCTAGGACCCCTGCTCATGGGATGGTACCGCCCACATCCACGATGGGTCATCCCTTTTCAGTTAACCTCTCTGGAAATGCCACCTCAGACATGCCTGTAGATGTATCCTCTAGGTGAGTCTAAATCAGTCAAATTGACAGTGAAGACTGGCCATCACAAGGCATCTCTTCACCTACACAGACCAGAGGGACCTTTTGAGCAGTGTAGATCATACTGCTAGATTCTGAGTCACAGCTGCCATCTGAACCTAGACTGCCCCCCAAACCCACTCTCTGTACGACTCTGGCCAGCTTCCCCCTTCTCTCCGGGGCCCTGGGAGGTGGTTCTCCTGCATGAGTTTTTAACACTCACACCTGAGAGGTCATGACTGAAACAGAAAAATGCCTTATCAGTGACAGCAGCCATTCTCCAACTCCCCAAGTTGACAGAAGAACCCCAAGAGCCTTGGAGTGTCTGTCCTGAGTATGTGGTAGAGGAATGTACCAGGGGCAAGGATTTGGGGTTTCTCAGAAGGCAAAGGTGGCTAGACACTCAGAGAAGGGCAGCACTGCTGTGCAGTGTGTGTGTGTGTGTGTGTGTGTGTGTGTGTGTGTGTGTGTGCATGCAGGTACATATGCATGTACATGTACATTCATATCCCCTTTCCAACTCTCATTTTGCATACTAGGGTGGGGCCCTGGTTATCCCCACCATGACCAGAACTTCCTTGTTTACAGCTGGCCTAAGCTTGGATCATCTTCCTGAAACCGAGTGGAAGTCAGTTCATCACCTGGGCTGCTGGGTCCTCTAGTGTGGCACCAGGTTTTTAAGAGATGTGAACAGTCTAAATCCCTGATAACTCCTGCTATGGCTGCTGCACGCCCAAGGTCATCCTGGTCCTGCAGCAGCTATGAATGAATGGTTTCAACCCACAGCCCCTGGCAAAGCTTGCCTGGATCTGGCTGCATTTCCAGGAGGGGCAGGAATCCCAGGCAGGCAGCATCTTAGAAAAGATTTGGTTTTATTTTAGTATGTGTGTGTGCATGCATGCCTGGGTTGATGGTTGGCTTCAAGGACAAGATGGTATTCCCACTACTATACACTGGCATCATGTAGTCCTCATAATTGGGCACATCCCTGAAGAGGTGGAAGAATTCTGCATTGACTCAGCTGGACTTTTATATTCTTACAGGGAAATGATGGCCTCACACTGAAATAAACTTGATTTCTGATGCAATGAGGCAATCTTTGGGACTGGCACAGGACGTCGAGGACTATGATTCATGCCTGCTGCACATATTACAATAAAGTCCTTTTTTTTTTTTTTTTTCAAGAGGTGGAGCCCTGGGCTTATTTGTAAATTGAACATTGGAAAAGTGGGGAGAAGTTTGTCTTAGCTAGGGATTTGGGGGGAGGTGTACAGACTTGTGTGGGGCAGGGACAGAGTGTGACCAGAAGAAACAGGTATCAGAGGATACTGTTTGGCCTCTCATCCCTGGAAGGGTAAGCAGACCGAGGTCAGTGTCTCAGCATAGGGTAAATTGCCACAGAGGTGGGCTTTCTGAAGCAAATTTTCTTTTAAAAGAAAGAGATGGCTCTGAGCGTGGGCAGCCAGGCCCTCTTGCTGGGATCAGCCTGGCACTGTATCTCCTACTTCACATTGATTCTTTACTGTTACATCTATGCCTAAGAGACTCGCCCACATTGGCACTTGCTGGGTCAGTCACTGACAAATTACTCCTCCATGGAGAACTGTGATACACGTGGTCTGATACAGGGGAACCTGAAATAAATTGTGCTAAGCCTCATACCGAGTGACAAAATGAAGAAAGAACACACACACACACACACACACACACACACACACACACACACACACACACACACACACAGAGTTTTCTAGCCAAGAATATAAGAATATCCCTGGTTCACTTTCCTAAGGAATCCAGTTCATTCTTTTGTTTTTCCTTTTGGAATTTCTGAGGCAGGGTCTCACTGTGTAGCTCAGGCTAGTTTCAAACTTGTCATCCCCCTGCCTCAGCCTCTTGTGTTCTGGGTTACAGGCCTGCACCATCATGCTCAGCTCTCATGGCTTGTTCACTATTCCATGAGTGTGCACATGTTTATGTTCACGTCATGCAGAGGTTGGTGTCAGGTGTCTCTCCACCTTAATTGCTCTCCACCTCATGTTTTTGAGAGATGGTTTCTCATTCAATGTGGGACTTGTTGATTCGTATAGCCCAGTGGGTCTCAACCTTCCTGATGCTGTGACTCCAGTTACTCATGTTGTGGTGACCCTCAACCATAATATTATTTCATTGCTACTTCATAACTGTAATCTACTGTCATGAATCATAATGTAAATTCTGATATGCAGAATATCTGATATGTGACACTCAAAGGGTCACAGGCTGAGAACCACTGATTTAGACTGGCTGGCTGGCGAATACCATTAATAACCTTGACTTCACCCCCACCTCCCAGTGCTAGAATTACAGACGTACCACCTTGCCCACCTTTAAGTAATTTCTGAGTTGTGTGTTCGCAGGTCTGAACTGACGTCCGCATGCTCATGTGACAAGCACTTATACTGACTGAGCCATTTCTCCGGCCCCTCTGGTTTATTATTTTACTCAGAATGGACACTGGAATACTAACTCATCCTTTAATGCCCTTCTGCTTTCCCACCCCATCTAGAAAGCAGCACATAAAACGTTTTCCATGACCTCCTTCAAATTCAGCAGTAAGTGAGGGACAACCGTCTTACATACACCACGTGGTCTGCTGTGGAGGAAAGACCATGCCCGACCAAAGGTTCCAATAGCACTGCCTCTTAGAAGTGATGCAGGCCTGAGCTCCCTTCCACTCCTGGATCCTATACTTTATTTAACATGTGCCCTTATGAGGGAAATTTTTAACAGCAGGCACAGTGGCTTTCTAAAACAGCTCTGCTGTTTTAGAAGAAGCCGAGGAATAGGTGACTGAGTCTACCAGAATCTTTTTCAGAAGCAAGGTGAACATGGTTCTAAAACAGTGGATTACTGGTAATGATGATAGGAGTCCTGAACTTCCTCAGAGTCTTAAGTGTTTGTTTTCAGGAGGAGGAATCCTGGAGACCACCGCGCCTTCACATGGAGGGCTTCTGTTTGCCAGTTTCGTTTGTGGAAGCAGGTTGCTGAAATAGGTCTCAACACCATGCAAGTAAACAACCAATGACTGAACCTAAGAAGCAGTAGCATCTGCCCTTCAGAGAAGATTGGCAGGTTGGGGTGCTGTGTAATCTGGCTTGGTGAGGGGTTTTAGGACATTGGTATGCTGGTCTGAGTCCTACCACAAGCCATTAAGGATGCAATGTGAAGACCATCTTCTCGAGAAGTACTGGTCCTGTTGGGACCAATGACATTGGGTTTGGGGTAGAGCCCCATCCTTTGCTTTGAGTAAGACTGGGGTAACTGTTTTCTGCTGGCCCATATGGGCTCACTAGTAAGTCTCACAACAGCCCAGCCTATCCTGAGGAGGGATGAGGCAGTTCTGGTGGGTGTGCATCAGGGAAACTGAGCCATCTTTTCCTTTCGATCCCAGCATGGGCTTTGGGGCAGGCTCATCAGAATTTACATGTAGTGGGTAGCCATTCCAGCTTGGATCTAGAAGTTCCAACCCCCACTGAGACTCTGGCAACTGTCACACCTATGAGGTAGAGCCAGGGGAGGCGCCTGGAGACCCGAGATCTGGATGGGCCAGCGCTCTCTCTGTTCCGGGACCCTGGACAGTGGAGGTTGACTGAGCAGAGCTCCAGAGGACACCGCTGGACTTCTATACCCCTTCCCCAGACCCCACAACCTATCTTTCCCTCTTTTATAAGTTACCCACTAAATAAATCTTCCTTTTAACTACGTGGAGTGGCCATAATAATTTCACCAATATTTATATCCTGCCTAGCTCTGTGATTTTGACAACTTTGAATTTCAGCATCTTCCAAAAAGTGGAGTGCATGGTGCTGGAGTTCCCAAGGACATCGCAAGAATGGAATCGGACACTTCACATGTAGATCTGGGTCTCACTGCATTCAATCACCACAGCTGCCATGCTCATTACCACTCACTAGCGAGTACAGTTATGTTCACAGTGCAGTTCAGTTGGCACTGCACATGGCCTTTCAGTGAAATGTGTTATATGGAAGCACAGTGCTCAAAGATAAACTCCCAGCTCACTCCCTCACCGCATTCAGGAAGGGTAAGGTCTGTGGATGACGAGGGGTCCTTGGAGGCTTATGGTTTTCTGCTAGGGCATGAACTGGTTTCCCACTCACAAGATGGCTCCATTAGGTAAGTTTTAAAAAAGAACATTTTCTTGGGTTCCCTCTCCCACCATTGATGGGGTGGGGCATGAAGGAGTGAGCAGCTGTGCCTGGTGTTATGAACCTCTTGAAGTCTGGCCCATTAGAGAAGCCAAAGTGCCTAGTGGATTTCCTGGGAGAATGGTTCCAAATAACTTAACAGAGAGTGGCTTGAAAGAAGTGGGAAAAAGGCATTTTGTTCTCTGAAGGAGCTATCGGATGCTCAGTCCAAACACCCCCGTAACTAATTCATTACTTTACACCACACAGACATCTTTTAAATTAGGCAGAATACAGATGAGTCTTGTTTTGTGCCATTAATTTCAATGGTTTTACACAATATTTGAATCACTGGCTTTTCTTTTCCTTTGGAGGCAGACCAAATCAGGCTGAATCTACTTGCATTAAAAGCCATTCATGAGACCCAGCCAGCTCCGTCTTGCAGATGGAACACCATATGTTTTGGCTCAACCCCCATATGGAACAGCAATATGCAATCCAGGGATAGAAAGCTCTGTTTCTTCCCATTCACATTCACGGTCACCTCTAACCCACAAGCTCTTTCCATTCTGCACAGAAGTAGGCACATTCATCCAGAAAGGAGCCAGGAATATGCTGAGTGCTGGAAGGGGTGGGCTTGGTTTCTCTTGCCCTTTTACACTCAAAGACACCCATTTGTCCTAGCTGGGGCTTCCATGATGTGGCACTTGGAAAGATTCTATTTTCATGTTTCCAGGATAGGTTAGGCCTTTTTTTTTTTTTTTTTTTTTGCATGAAAGCACAATACATAAAATTTTGCAAACATCAGGAGACCCTAGAAATAGTGAATTACGGGCCTGGTCCATGCAAAAGCATTTGTATGTAATCTAACGTTTCCTGGGAGGAGTCTAGGGTGGGATAAAGGGACTGTTCTCCAGGAGAGAGGAGTCAAATAGAATCTGGGCTTCACTGACGACTAGGAAAAAGGCTTCAGGTTTTGGAGAGTCTTCCAGGGAAAGATGGACCAAAGGTTATTGAGAAGCAAGGGCTCCTTTTCCCCTGTGTCCAGGATGAGGTGGCCGAAAGAGTGCTGGACTGAGAGAGTCTGGCCTTTTCTCCATTATTAAATAGCTTTGTGACCTTGAACAAAGGTCAGTGTGACATTCCTCACATATAAAAGAATTAGGTTGACCTGGCGATGGCTGCAGATTCCATCTCTCATCCCATCATATGCTGTAGGACACCGTTGAGGGGATGCTCAGTGGACGCTCAGTGGTCAGGGTGCTGACATGAGTTAGATGCTGATCCGACAGCTGGTGTGTTTACTACTTATTTGGTTGAGATTTCCCACCCTGCAACAGCATTTGGTAACCGTGACTCGGTTAGTTCATGTGAACCTGTGTGCTATTACTAACTCAGGAAGCGGACCTCAGCTCCCTGGCATGCTGGTACACCACAAAAGCCTCTGCAGGCGCTTTATATCCACCTGCCTGGGGCAATGAAGTTTTACTTCCTCGCAAGGGAACAGTTAGCAGTAGCCGCAGACCACTGGATGTCACGGAAACTCAGATGCTTCAAACCTGGAATTTTGATTTTGATGTGATTGTAAACCAGAGGCAAGAGGAACAGATGACAGAATTTCACCTTGTTTTGGACTGCCAAGATGAAGTCCCCATCTTCTCGGTATTTATGTCTCAATAAGCTCCAATTGTGACTCTGGAGTTACCAGATGTCTGTGATCTGGGACCCTAGAGACTGAGTTTCAGGAAATCTAGACCTCCGATGATGGTCTGAGCCTTGTTGAATGGGTTTCCAAGCAGCTATCTGTGTAGTTATCTGTGACTGGAGGTTGCAAGGGGATGCTCTGAATCTCTTTTAGCTGAGATGCCAAAATACAAGGACAAAAGAACAACTGTGAGCTCTCACATTCCAAACTCTGAAACCAAACGTCGGTGCAGAACTTTCACAGACTGGCCTAACACCAGGGTCCTGACCCTTAGCCCACCAGC